AGGAAAACAGTAAAAGGGCTGCTGTCGGAGCAGTCTACAATGAGGAGGGAGGCGTGGCAGCGAAGCATGAGGGAAATGGTACAGGGAAGATACACACTATCTGAAGGCCAAGATAAAACCGAAACACCACCCGAAACCTTAGGATACAACCCTCAAGGGAAGAAGAGACGTTGACGGCTGTCCCGATACAAAACATACCAAAAATTAAACCTAAAACATTAGGAAAATAAATATATAGTAATAGGATAATTAGGAGTGACCCAAGAGGATTGGCCAAATACACTAGAAAGAAAATATCTGGACCGGTTTGGTCTAGGCACGGAAGCAGGATCCACTTCCCATCTCGGGAATTCCGCGTGCATGGGATACGACTTGCGTTACCTTTCCTACTTAACGATATGATATTGTTACCGTCAAATTGTCATCTATATATTTTGGATTCAAAATTGTCTTTAACACAAGAATCTTACTTATTAAGTATAAATCGAGCTTGAAGAGAAATAAGATAAAGAGAACGAAATATAGAAGCTTTGAGGATCTTAGTATATTCATGTGTCAGAAACTGCATGATTTATGTGACAAACTTGTCAGAGTCTGTCTAAATGTCTTGAGTTAATCCTCTGATTCTTTCTTTAGAGGATTAGGCTAATGTTCAATGCAAAATACTAGTACATTTATGTAGGGACTAGTAATCTAATTATTTTGGTGAGTTTGTTTGGTGAGTTCACTTGCATGGATGATTGAGTACACTCTTGAATTGATTAACTCAATTTTCATGTTTTATTAGTGCGTTGAGCTTTTCTCTTGGTGCTTTGACGAGATCTTTGGATGATTTGAAGCTTTGGGTGATTTAACTTTAATAAATGTCGAGTTAGTTTAAGGTTAGCACAAATTAAATCCATTTCATTTCATAAATTGACTTGATTGTGCTAATCTAGAAGATTATGGGTATACATTAGTTATCTAATTTTCACCTTTTTGGAGAGGCCAAAAAAGAACAAAAGTGTAAATGTTTGGGAAGTTAATTTGGTCTTGGTGGTGTGACACATTGACTATGATTTAGTATATTCAGTTTTTTTTTAGTGTATGTCTTTTGCGTTTGTGTTCCTATAGCCACTTGAATTTTTTGGTTGAGGTAAACAGCAACTACATCAAGGCTTGTTTCTGAAGGGATGAAATGTGCTCATTGGTACACTCCCAACTATTTGTGATTTTTTCAATCGTACATATGTTTTAATGAACCAAAAGAGATTGTGAGTGAAGTTATCGATTCTTTTCCAATAAGTTAATCGTTTGAGTTATAGGAGCCATGCTTTGGATGGAACTTCAGCAAAGGCTCAATTGAAAAGGCCCTATTTGTTGTAGAGGAGGGAAATAAAGAGGCTTTTGATGAGGAAGTTGAGGGTGAGGAGTTTGCTTGAGCTAAACCTCAAAGAAGCCTTGTGGGAAACAACTCCACATCCAATTTCCCCAAGACACAAAACAAATTTAATGATCCATATAGCAAGTTTGAAGTCTTTTTAGTCGAGATTTCCTCATTGAAAGCTTTTGTGAATTTAATTAAGTTCATGCTGATGATAAGAAAGCAATTTTTAGTGATTAATTATAAGCTTTCAAAGTCTCCATTGAAGTTTAGAGAAGTTGGCTCAATATTTTAAAACAAAAGCTTGATGCAATGACTAGTTGCCCTACACTTTATCTTATGAAGTTGCAAAGGAGATGCACCAAGAAATTAATGGCTTGAAGACCGAAGATGTGAAAATTTATTGAATTAGATCAGTCTGAACCAATTACTTATTGGGTGCAAATTTATTTTTTTGTCATTTGTTTAGATTTGGTATTATTTATTGGGAGATTGCTCTGGATCTATCTTGCTGCATTTTTTTTAGAACTAGGACTTCTAAAGATGAAATTGGAAGTGCACTTCAAGTACCTTCTGGATGTTGATATTCTTATGTACCATAAATTTATGAGAAATTTGTTTATCTTTTTTAAATCTATTTTGTTATTTTAGTAATGCTTGTCATGTGTTAAGACATTTATTTTTTTTAATTTTCACTTTTGTTTTGTTCTTACTTTATTGTTTTTGTTATTATTATTATTTTTTTATATTTGATCATATCATATGAAGTCATCCGTGTAAAATCTTCCTTTACTTTGAAGTTGTTTTTTACTGTGTCTTTGTCCTTTATCGTGAAGTCATTCTTTAATTTCTGTGAAGTTCCTGAAATTTTGATGGTTCAAAAGAAGCATTGGTTTGACCTTCTTTAATGATAGAAATATTAGAAAATAATAATAAAATGTGATGTCCTTAGTGTTTTATTTGACTTATGAAGCAACTATGATTAATCGCTTTTGTTGTCACCCAGTTTGAGGGCTAGCCTGTTTGATGATGTCTCCTCTAGCTTGAAAGCAAGGTCCTTCTTCCTATTTCTCTTCCTCTGCTCACACTCGACTCACTAGCTTGGCTTGTATTGCTCGAACTGCTTGATTAGGGTTTGATTTCCTCCTGCTCAAGCTTCATCGCCTCTCCCTGACATAGGAGCTTACTGGGATGTGGTACTGTAGCTGTTACAGTACCGCAGTCCAACCTAGGGGAGTTACCGGCCCTTCTACCCTAATTTTCTTATTTGATCCCTTGTCTTGTCTAGCACTTTCCTTATCTACCTCCTTCCTTTTCCATCACTTTTCTATTTCTATTCCCTACCTATTCTATATATTATTCCTCATTATATATAGGTGTTGTTTGCTTTGTTTAGGGTCAGTTTTTGCCTTCCAAATTTTAGATTTTGTCCAAGCCAGCCGTTGGGTTTGTTTTCCCTTCTATGGTTGTATTCAAAGGTGAGGAGGTGTTCCAGCTATAACTCGCCCGAGGTGGTGATTTTTACCAAAGGTTTGAGGGGTGCTCTGGCTATAATTTGATCCCTCGGAGATACCTATCTTCCCCAAATCCCCTCCGCAGTCCACCTCCTATTTTCACTGTCGTTGTCGCCACTTTTACAACACCCCCACCTATTGCGACAAGACCTTCCCTCCCTCCTAGCCTGCTGCCGCCAACCCTCCGGCCTCCTCGTCAGCTGTCGTCTCCTCTTTCCAGCTGTCCTGCTTCTGCCACCCCTCCTCCTTGCCTTCCAGTGCTGCGGCCACACCATTCCAACCTCCACCTGAGCGCGCAACCCCCAACCAACCCCTCCACCTGCTGTCCAGCCGCAATCTACCACCTTCACCATTGCCCTTGGTATCTTTTATGTTTGTGTTGCTTTTTTCCTAATATCAAGAGTCTTTATTTGTAAAGCTTTTGAATTTCAACAATAACATTCGCATTTTTATTCTGGATTGGGTTAACTCCGGTATCATTTGGTATCAAAACTAACCTAAACCTAGTCCTATCTCAGGGTTTTCTAGCATCCACTCCCACCCAAGCCACCTTCACCAAAAATTTTCATTCTTACCATCTACCAAACCATAGCCAAATTTTGACGTAATCCTTATTTTCTTTTGCTAATTTTTAAAACCAGCAATCTCAAATTAAATTTTCTACACCTTTAATTAGTCTCATGCTCCCTATTTCACCTCTCAACCTTAAACCCCGGTCATGCCACCTAGGAGATACATGCCCGATTCTACCCACGAAGAGATACAACGAGAGATCTACCGACTTCAGCGGGAGTTGGCGGACATTGACGAATCCAGTGGGAGATTACCCTCGACCGTGATCTGAAGAGTCAAAGAGGAGAATTGGATAATCTGAAGATGAAGCGAGAGATACATTACCAGTTCCTACCAACTTACTACAGGCAGATTGTTCAGGTCCTAGCTTCAGAAGTAGAGAGAAAACATCGTTGAACGAGCATCCCATCTTACAGGTAATGTTCATCCTCAGGATCTTACAACCAGATTACACTCAAGAGAACACCCAAGTTAACCCCGTCAGAGGAAGAGTTGATTCAGAATGAAGAATATGTGGAATCAAGTCGCATTTCTAAATCCGTCCCAAGCAAGAAGTGCTTCAGGTACTATGGATTTGGGCATAGTGAGCTAAAAAAATAAATGATGATCCGGAAGAAGATGAAGACTTCGAATATGATTCTCAATTTTCAGCCAATGAAGAAGAGACACCATGAATTCTAGTTGACCCCAAGATAGAGATTTCATCTGAGGTAACAATAGTTGTTCTAGGGTAGTGACTCTGATGTAATGGATGTTTCAACAGGGTACGAGATTGTGGTGTCTCGAGTTTGTATTTTGCTGGTGTTTAGAGGAGCATAGTCAAGATTGACCTTGGATATCTAAAGGGGTAATTAGTTTGAGGAGCCGATATCAGATACAAGACAACCCCATATATGAGAAATTCAGACCATTCAAATATATGGACTCATTCTCGAGTTGCCCCTACTATTCAAATTTTGGATTCAGTTCAGCATGGTACCCATCATCAGATGTTCGAATAGGATGAACTGCATCCTTGAAATTTTTCTTAGGAGCTTGATGGGGAAGAAAGTTCTTCAATGAAATTGAGGTCCTATCTGTGAAGAAGAATAGATCTTTCCTTATTGATTACTAGTGAGAGGGCCGCATCCTACTACAAATTTCATCCCAAAATTGATTTTGCCTCACATACCTGTTTATCAACTACATTCTGTTCAGTACGAGAAGTGGAAGAAATAAGTTTCAGAATTAAAGTCTTGAGAGATACATTGTGGGAACCTACATCTGTATATTGCTCTAGCTCAGGATGTGCCAAAAAAAATATGCATACTTATTTTATCAAAACATGTTGTGGAATGACAACACCTACAAGATCGAAGTGCTAGGAGATTACAATGTTTTTGCTACATTCAATGTCACAGATTTGACTTCATACTACAAAGACCCCGAATCTTCAACAAATGAAGCTAAAGCTCTCCCCAACCCTTGGAGATTGATGCGGGAGTTTACCGAGATGCAGTATTGTAGCCGCAAACACATTACTATAGCTGCTATAGTACTGCGGTCCAACCCAGGTGAGTTATCGCCCCTTCTACCCCCTTTTTCCTATTTTTTTCTTGCCTTTTCTAGCTCTTCCTTTTCTAGCACTTCTTTTATCTGTCTCATTCCTTTTCCATCATCTTTCTATTTATATTCCTTATCTATTCTATCTACTATTCCTCATTATTGATAGGTGATATTTGCTTTGGTTAGGGTCAGTTTTTACCTTCCAGATTTCAGATTTTTGTCCAAGCCAGCCATCAGAACTGTTTTCCCTTCTAAGGTTGTATCCGAAAACGAGAAGGTGCTCCGGTTACCTTCTCTAATGGTTCGAGGGGTGTGCGGTTGTAACTCAATCTCGCGAGGATACCTATCTTTCCCAAATCCCCTCCGCAGTCTACCTCTTATTGTCCTTGCCACCAGCCCTATTCCTAGCTCCCTTCTGTTGCGGCGGCAAGACCTTTCCTCCCTCCTAACCAGTTGTCGCCAACCCACTAGAATACCAGCCAGTTGTTGCCTCCCTCTTCCCCCCTTCTCTTTGCCTTCTAGTATTGCAACCACACCATTCCAAGCCTCCAATTGCGCCCGCAACCCCCAACCAACTCCTCTACCTGTTGTTTAGCCGCCATCCTCCACCTTCGCCATCACCCTAGGATATCTTTTATGTTTGTGTTGTTATTTTCCTAATGTCAAAAGTCTTTATTTGTAACCCTTTTGAATTTCAACAATAACATTCACATTTTATTATGGTTTGGGTTAACCTTGGTATCACCCCCTTTCTTCTCCCTTGCTCTAAATCCTTGTGCTTCCTTCGTGTGTTCGGTAGAATGAAAATAGAGAAAATATTCATCATGTTTATTCTCACAAGTGTCGCGTCTCATTCGAACGACACAATTATCATTTTTTTTTATTTTATGCAGTTGTTATACAAGTAAAGCTTAATAGAGTGAAATCCACACGTTCTTTACTTCTACATTCAATTAATTACTACATTTGAAATCCAATAGGGGTATCCTTTTCTTAGATGAAGCAACTAGCAAAAACTTTTGGATTTCACGTCAAATAAGATCCACTTGGAGAAATCTTTATTTTATTTTTCTTGCTATCTTGTGAATGTTGAGCATGTGATATGCAACATTTATAGGGACTCAAACCTTCAATATTTGTACGTAGATTGTTGGCGAGTTTATTCTTGCACTTTTGATCAAGTGATGCACTGATTTGAAGGGTATGCTTTGGGTCATCTTCAAACATGGCGATGTCCTCACCTCGGGCCTCACTAGTGCTGTTATCATTTTTCAAGACAAATTGAGGCAATTGTATTATTGCGGCTAGGTTTAAGATGATGTATTTGGATAGCTCCCTTGTTGAGATGGAAGCTGTTTTACACCTTAGCAAGTCGGTTGAGCCATGGATGCTTGAAACTCACAGTCTTATTGTGAAAGGTGGCAACAAGAATGTGATGGATACCCTTCAGCACTCCATGGAGAGGGATGCTTGGAGACACAACAATATGCATACAATCTCGATGCAGCTTTTTAGACCAACTTTCTGTAGGTGCTGTTTTCCTTCACTCTGAGATCTAACAATGACGCAGCTTATCTTTGTGCACAGTTTGCTTTCATGATAGTTTTGTAGTTTAAGAGTTAACATAATAGTTATCTCGTCATTTTTTTGTGAAAAGGGCTAGGAAATTTTATGGCATTACTACTTAGGGTGCGTTTGGCACAGCTTTTTTGCTGCGGGGGCATTTTGAAAACACCAACTTGTGTTTGGAAATAACTTAATTGATGTGTTTTTGAATAAGATGTTTTCACCTTAATATTACACGTGGATCATTCGGTCCTACCCGCGATCCGTGTTTCATTCTAAACAATTACTCTCACTGCCCCTGCTCTTGACGCTCCTCTGCCCTAACTTTGCAAGCGCTCCTCGTCGCTCCTCTCCTCGCAAGCATCTCTCGTTCGTATCTCCCCTCCGTAGAACCTTAATAGAAGTTGCTGAAGGTATGCAAAAATGCCATTGTATCTCGTTTGTATATCCTTCTGTTTTTTAGGGCTATCCACGGCCAGTCGAGCCCTGATTTCCTTCATCTTACTCGATTATTTCTTCGTCCTGATTTATATATTACTCCATACTACACTTTGCGAATGGATCTGGTTTCTTTCATCTTCCTCGTTGAATAGCACGATGGTTTGGAATTTTTTTTTTATCAAGTAGATAGTTGGTCCAATGTTTCTGGTTATGGATCTGCTGTTATTTTAGGTTATAGATCTGATGTTATCTTTGTAATGAAAAATACTGGGTAAAAAATGACGTGTAAAAGCTGTTTACAAAAAACACAAAACAAACAGCTGCAACTTATTCAAAACATGGGCAGTTTGGTCATTTATTCAGAATCAGCTGTTCTCAAAACGCACAAACCAAACAGACAGACAGATTATCCAGATCGACTGCTTATCACCAGATTCTCAAGATAAGCAGCTTATCAGAATAAGCTGGATAAGCTGCAGCTGCCCCAAACAGACCTTAGTAGCCTCCTTTTTTTGTTTTTGTTGTGGCATCTAAAGTTTTTTTTTTGTACTCTTTTGATTTTATATTAATGCAAAATGCACACCCTTTACGTAGGGACTTTGGCAACGACGTGATGGGTTGAAACTATTTTTTTAAGGTATTGATCGGCTGATTGAATTATAGCATTTTAGGTCATTGTGGCATTGACTATAAAGAAGTTGACCATTGCTGTGAATTGTCAATCAACTCTTCGCAAGTGATAGACAACAATAGACGTGAAGTTGGTAGTGTGAAGATTTATTTGATCAAAGACCCTTTCTAAGATATTATTCATCAGACCTCTTTTGCTATTTATGATGTTGCCAATTTGACGAAAGTTAGCAATCAATGCTGCAATGAAAATTGTTTTGTTGGGGTATTACCCTGCTTCGACTAACTATTGGTGAAGGTAATCATTATCGTCTCAACATAAGGATATATTGAATTTGCAGTACATGGTACCTCTTTTGTTCGATGTCATTTGAGATTTGTTTGCCTTGATGTTAATGGCTTGTATTACTTTCATTATATTTATTCTTGCCCTGAAGAAAATTATTTTACTGTTCTTCCATAGGTGCTTTCTAGAGTCATCATCGTAGATATGCAAGGACAAAATCCTTTACCTTACTAGAAACAGTAACTCACTGGCTTGAATCACCATTGTTCATCCCCGCGTTGCGTACTTGTATATAGCTTATGTAATTATTTCCTTGAGATTGATACGTGTAGAAAAGCTTTCTTTGACGTTTGGTTCATTTTCTGCTATGTTTTGACTTTTATTCTCCAGGAAGAAGAAGAGGCAACTCTAAAAGAACTAAGGAAAAGCATGAATTTCAAAGCTATTCCTATGCCTAGCTTCTACCATAAGGGACCTCCTCCGAAGATTGAACTAAAAAAGGTTGTTTTTTTTTCCTACAATGGTGTGAGGGCACAGCACCCATATGCTCACGCTACATTGTTAATTCTGTTCTGTTTCCTTGCATGCCAGTTTAACCCTGCTTTTCTAGGGATTCTGTCCGACATAAAACAAAAATTTTTGGGATCACTTTTTATTTTTGTTTTTCATTTTTATTTTGTTTTATTTATGTTTTGATTTGGAACAAATTATGTTTGGCATGTGTGATTAAGATATAGTTTTTTAAAACATCCATTTTCAAAAACATGTTAGTTTGTTTTTAGAAACAAAAAAATTAAAATATGTTGAAAATACACTAAACAAACATGTTTTTGAGACAAAAGAAAAAAAGGAAAATAAAAATAAAAAACAAAATTGATCCCAAGCAAGCCCTAAATTCTCCATGCTTTTATAACATGGTGGATTTATCAAGAAAATAAGTTGGATCCAGTATCTTCTTGACTATACAATCATTGTTATTATCCCTTTTTGTTTCTGAGCTTTTGCCTTCTATTGTCCATTACTTTTGTGTTTTTTTTTTCAGTCTTTCAAAATTATATCAAGGGTGAGTATGGTCTGTATTAAAATTCCTTATGAGACCATAAACAAATAATAATGAACAAGCTTAGAAGAGAAAAACCAAGCAATTGAAGTTACTAGCTTATGCCATGCATCTTTGATAGAATCACGCTACAATCTAAGCAACCATAGTATAAATATTTTATAAATATTAAATAATTATAAATTTAAGAAACCATGGCTAAGTAGGAATTATCTTGCATTTGAACACTAAGGCTAGTACAAGCTTATAAATATACTTTTTATAATATATATCCATCACCAATCAATATGCATAAAAGAAATACGATATATCCATCAAGCAATAAACCAAAATAATCTGTCCACCAAGTTCGTCAAATCCATTGCATACATTTACTAATGAGTGGTTTCATAATTAAGATTAAAGGTGTACATCCACAAAGCCACATAAATTAGGTCCATAATACTATGATTCCTTGCAACAACACATTTTGTTACCAAGTTATGGACTTCTGAGATTAATCAGTCGTTGGCATGATTGCTCCCTAGGTACTCGTTGTAAACATCGCATAATGGATTTGCAAGCATCCATATTCCTTGTGTAGTCATGATCGGTTTGTGCTTATGCTTGTCATGATAAGAAAATGTCCCTTTGGAATGATTATTTGGACCACCTCATAAGAAAGATAAAAATGCTTAAATTATCAAAAATTGATTTTGATTGTGTTATAAACATTAAAATCATTATCTATTGATAGCACAACTAGCATGTAGGTTACAAATATATTGAAATTTAAACAATTTTTAATCCGAAAATCCTTACTAAAACTCACTGTTCTCTCATCATCAAATTTAACCATGGAATAAGAACATTGTTCTGAATTTATCTATAACTATTGCTTTAACCACATTAGCCTATTGTTAATGCCTCCAGTGAGACATGAGGCTAAAATAACTTTATAACCTTTGCCAGGTTATTGTCTTTGTCAACACACTGCACTGCTGTATCTTTTTCCGCATGCTCATTTGTGGTCCTTGGGGCCTCTTTGCCTTTTACAACCATTAGCTTGGAGGCCAAAGGCAATCCTTTGATTTAACCTTAACTTGGTTGATGTTACCTTGTCAACTTTCGTGACTTTCATTAGATCCCTCTATATTTTTTTTCTTAATAGTTTAAATCAAAATCTTGAAATTTATATGTGTGCAAATGTCTGAGATCTTAAGGATGAACAATAGAAACATGATGGCTTGAACAAAATAATTCTTATTTAAACTGGACTTTGAAGCAGATCTCTCTTGATGATGATGTTGATCAATTGTCAATGATTGAGCTTCTTAATGATCCTAATCTTAGAATTATGCCCGAGCCTAATCTTACATTTGAGGTTTGGCTTTAGATTAAAATTGAAGTGTCGTTATCGTTTATTCAAATGAAGGCACATGTTAATTCACAGGGTTCATCATTTCTTATAAGTTTCTCTCTATAGTTTGGTTGAGCCAATAGTTCCTACAATGTTGTCTCCTTAAAAGATTTATATGCTGACTGCATATTACTATTGTTGCCATTGCTATATGTTTATGGTATCTTTGGTGCTACCTTCTTCAGAAGATACCAAAATTTGAAGCTTCAATATTTTACATTGCATATTTAACTTATGCGAAAATTTTATGAGAGGGATTATTTCACACAACATCTCATCATATACTCTCAAGTGATACCGATTTGAATATATCATTGTTGATCAGTCAGCATTGTTAAGTCTTTTTGAATCCCATTGAGTGGATAAGACTGCAAGTAACTAGTCATCTTAAGGCCTAGTCTTTTAAACAAATTTTTTGACTCCCCTAGCTGAAGATGGCGTTAACCACTTGCTGCATCATCTTGATTTTTAGTTTGAACGAGTCCTCATGCTTATCAGGATCGAGTTTCGTATTTGATTCCTTCCCCTTAAATATTGCCATCTAGGGAAGGCCGAGTTTAGTTTATTCACCACCTTTAGCATTTGATCACCATCCAATACAGTAACCACCTTTTCCTTTTGTGATCGTTCATGAAAATCTTTGAGAAAAGTTTTGGATAAAGCTTCCAATATTTTTTTATTTCACACCTTGAGATTTGTCAATGATCAAAGTTGAGGTTATTTCTGGAATAAGAAAAGTTTACGAAATTACCTTTATCAAGACCATGTTGATTAAAAAAAAAAAAGACATTTTTGGTTTCGCTTCTTCTCGCCAACCTTTGCTTCTCTCACTACATCATCTCAATGACAAACTTGTTTATCTGATCGAGATCTTTGATGAGAAAGAGTAGAAGTTCGTTAGAGATGATGTAGTGCAAATCTGCCATAAAATGCTCTCAACATGGACATGCCTCCACCGGTGCACCAATCAATAAGGTTTGTCTTCAAAACTCTGCGGTAGGCCTATATAATCTTCTACAATTTGATCTTGTCACAAATGCAATTAGTGTCTCAGTTCATCTTTCTTTTTTGTCCTCCATAAAACATAAATTTTAGTCATCTCCCTCTATCTCTCCTGGAGCTGCTCGTACTCTTCTTGCATAATAAAATTCAATCACTAATTGACATTTAGCCTCCCATAAAAATTGAAAATTAAATTTTTTAACTTGTATTGCCACGCCGAGAGTGGTCCGATACCCACTGTTGTGTGCTCACGCGCCGATGTGTAAGGACTTGCAACTCTGTCGTGGATGGCTCTCTCTCAAGCTTATTGACCTCTATACATGATCAAATAAATATAGGACTCGCATCAACAACAACAACAACAACAAAGCCTTAATCCCACTACGTGGGGTCGGCTACATGAATCATTTTTCTCCATTGCGTCCTATTTAGTGTCATATTTTCATTTAGTTCTAGTAAATTAAGATCATTTTTAATACAATAAGCCCAAGTCTTCCTAGGTCTACCTCCGCCTTTCTTAACACAAGTCGAATTTAAAACATCTACTCTCCTAATCGGATCATCTAATGGTCGACGTTTAATATGACCAAACCATCTAAGACGACTTTATTCTATCCATAACTACTATTATATATAAATTGCACCCCAAACAATATATTCATTCCGCATTTTGTCTCTAAGTGTAAAGCCACTCATCCACCTAATCATTCTCATCTCGGCAACACTTAACTTATTATTATGCTTCTCTTTTAAAGGCCAACATTTAGCGCCATAGAGCATTGCAGGTCTCACCACCATCTTAGATATAGGACTCACATAATTACAAAAATTTATAAGCTTATGAATTTTGAGATAATTTTAGCAGCCTCCGGTAGTGTTCTGTGTGGGGGATCAAACCTCCAATGTGGAGTGCGACTGCTTTGGCTCCGTCCATCGTCCAATTTGCTAATTTGTCTGTCTTTTTCTCTGGTATTTCAGAAAGCCCCATGCTCGGTTTAACTAAGCCTAGACTCCCCCACCAACCCACGAGTGCCTCTACCCCTACTTACCCGTTGTAGCGAACATAGTCTCGAGCCTATGCCTGAGACGAACCGCAAAAATCTGTCGGATCTGCTGGTGATGTTCCGACAACCAGTTAAACGACATTTGCAAATTAAAAAGTAAGTTTGATTAACATAAAGGTATAAATTAGCTTTATATTTCAAATTAAAATATCATATCTCAAGCTCCCTAAAATACATATCCCGAGTGACAATTGAGATATGTTTTAATGTGAGATATGACTGATCATACCTGCTCGGGATGATCTCCGTAATTCGCATCACAGGCGGCCTGGATGGATAAAACCTGCAAATGAAACATTAGGTACATTATAAAATGAAATGAAAACTGAAATTACTATATTGTAAAATGGAAATGTGACTTACGAGTCACCCTACGACTCAATATAGACTCTGTCGACGGTGTTAGTCATCTCAGGTGCTAGAGTTGAGGGCCCTAGCTCATCGGATGAGGAATCTGGGAAATATGGTGGAGTGAGAGGTGAGGTGCTTGCGAGGGACCTGGTGTGGGAGGAGGGGCAACATAAAGGGTCATTGGAGTGGCTTCTTCGGCCTTCGATATGTGTTTCCCAAAGTCCGCTGAACGTGGGGTCTCTCTGGGGACTCAGAATTTGCCATCTGCAACAGGAAAAAAATTTATAATTAGTAAGCAAGATTATTATGTAATAATATAAGACAAAAATAAAAGCAGAATAATGAAACATGTCATGTCTATGCATAAAAACAAGAAAATTAAGTAGGACAACTACAATGCAAGAAACGAAAGTAAAAGCAAGAATGTGCATAAATTAATCATATAAGTATACATACCATTTTTTAGTCTGTTTCGTTCAATGATCTAGATGTTGAAGAACTTAAAATTTCTTCGTCAATCTCATCATAATTTTTATTCATATCTAGAGGGATTTCTTTATGAAATTCCGTGGCATCCTTTAGGGGTAACTCCTCATCGATTGAGCCAACCTGAATTCGAAAATCAGACATAACTGACAGTTGGTGAATAAATTTGGTAACATTTTCCATCTCAACAATTTTTTGTGGTCTATTCTTCAATACAACATCTCAATGAAGTTTATCCCTTGCAGGGCATCGATTGCAGTAGGTAATAAGCACTACATGAAAATATGATAATTGTGGCACTTGATACCAAATATTTTCCCTCTTTTTATATTAACGCATCGACTTATGTTAGAAATACAACAACTTGGAAACTTTGAAGAATGCGACCACTCAAAGATAGTTTTTTGTTGATCCAATGAGACAATATGTAAATTTCAACTTTACTATTTTACCTGCATTTGCCTCTTGCAGATCTAATCCCCTCTTGCAACACTCCCTCAGATCTAATCTTGCTTTGACGTTGTCTTTTGTTTTTTCCTTGATATTCAGACAGTATTAAATATATTATCAAAAAAGTTTTTCTTAATATGCATAACATCTATATTATGTCTAATCAGATTGATTCTCCAGTATGAGAGATCCCAAAAATACTCCGCTTCATCTAATTATGTGTAATGCCAAAATTTGGAAGACGACTCGAGTCTAGTTTTGACATCTCAATTATCTTTGTCACTTCACGGATCATCTGCAATATATTGCTTTCACTTATATTTGGGGTGGACTTGATCTTTCAAATCTATTTTTGAAAAATGCATCTTTATTCTTCCAGAATGGGTGATCACGTGCTAAGAACTTTTAATGACAATTGAAGCAAGAATTTTTTCTTCCATGCTTCAAAGTGAATGCTTTGGACGTGCCCATGCAGTAGGGACATCCCAATTTCTTAGCTGTACTCCAATCAGATAGCATCCCATAAGCTGTTAAGTCACTGATCGTCCACATAAGTGCAACTCTAAGGTGAAAATTTTGTTTCATTTCAATATTATAAGTCAACACGTAGGTTTCCTACAATACCTGTAGCTCATCTATTAGAGATTGTAAATACATATCAATTTTATCCTTTGGGCTATGTGGACCTGATATGATCAATGTCAAAAATAAGAATGACAGTCATACACATATCAATGGGCAAATTATATGGCGTGATAATAACTGACCAACATGAATGGGGTGTTGCGGCGTGACTGTAAGGTGTGAACCCATCTGCGCATAAATCAAGCCTAACGTTGCGTGGTTCTGCTGTAAAATCAGGATAACTGTGTATGAAGTGTTTCAAGCTTCACCAACATAAGAACGGGTCATCATACAAGCACCAACAAATCTGATATTGTGTCATGTCATGTGAGGAGCTGTGTGCATATAAGCAAACAACTGTTGAAGTTGTGGAATGAAAGGAAAGTAAAAGAGACTGTAAGAAATATTTTTTCTGATTTTTACTCTTTCTCCCTGCAAAATTTGTATTTCGTCTCATGGGCACCTTTCTTGTAATATAACATACGACCGTTAACGCAACAATCTATCTTTTCGGATAGTAGCCCTAGCCTCGATACTAAATTTTAAGTTATGTACAAATCATCTGGAACTAAATTGTTTGCAGGGTTTGTCTTCTTTAATAATGTTATTACCTGATTGAAACATTCTCTGGGTATATTGAAGTCAGATTTGATAGTCAACATTCTCAGACCAACCGATAACTGCATATGTGAGGTGTATTCTTCCCACAAAAGCTGTTGTGCAATATTTAATAATTAAAAAAAATTATTGCGCCTCACTGTTCGGTTCTTAATCATTATCATATACGCTTCCAACAAAATGAGCCCTGCTAGCATCAACAATCATTTCTTTATACATACCGAAATTGTGATCCGTTGGAGGGGTGTAATTTGATGAGACTCCGACATGATCGTACTGAACATCTAAGTCAAATTCACTATGTGAAGTCCAGTACCAATAATTGAGTTTAAATCTCCTATGAGATAAATTCAACTTCACTTCGTTAGGCGTCATATACGCTTGATTCTTGTACTTCACACAGGAGCATCAAAATTTGTCTTCGGAAAGGTAGACAGGTAGTTGTGGTGCCTCGTGCACGAATTCCTTAACCTCAGTCAAAAAATCATAAGTTATTTAATTCCTGGACATAATCTATTATACATTCATGATCTCATATTTTGGATATCTATCTGCATCGTAGATGCAACTATATAGATTAGTACAACGTCATTGCGTTCCACTGAGTGTCGTATTTTTGATTCAAACACTAAACGAAAGAAAGAAAAGGAACACATCGGCTTATGTCTTTTGTGGACAAAAAATCATAAGCTCTAAACATTTAAATATTAAATACTAAACTAAAATCCATGTAACATAAGTTTTTATATAACGTCACATCATGTGAATAACCAAAATCTTGAGCCATGGACCCTAAAACATTAAATCCTTATTAATAAAACCCCAAACCATAACCTTATAAGCCTTGAAAAAACATGAAAAAAATGTCCTTAATCTTGAAAATTAAACACTATACTTAAGTCCTACCTCAAAATCCCTCAATCCCTAAGTCCTAAACATTAAAAAAAATTCCCAACACCCCTAAACCTAAAACCATTAACCATAAATCCTTAACACAAAAGACACAAACATGTAAGCCACAAACATTTATTTAGCCACATAGCACATAACACATAACACAAAATTTTAATATAATTAGGCACAAATTCTTTTGTATTTACATTCTCACACCTAAACTTTTATATTTGGGCACATAACACTCAACTCTTCAAATTTATTTGGCGCACTTACATGCATAGCACAAAATTCTTATGCATTTACATTCTCACACCTAAAATTTTATATTTTGGCACATAACACTCAAATGTTTTGCGTGCATTTACATACATAGCACAAAATTCTTATGTTTTTACATATCTCACACTTAAAATTTTATAGTTAATCACATAGCACTCAAATCTTATATAGAACCATCTAATCCCTATGTATTACAATTATAATAAAGAAATACAAAAAAAAAAAAAGAGTGGTGCCTATGTATTTTCAGATCTAACACCTATGCATCCAAAATTTGACAAAAAAAAAAAAAAAAACATTAAAAGTAATGTAAAACCGAAGCTTGCAGGTGTGGATCAGAGCTTCTCACCTTGAACGAAGTTAGAGCGGTGGAAGTGAGCTGAAAATGCTGAAAACCACGGAGGAGAGTCAGAGGAGATGAGATCACAACGACTAAGAAGAAAACAGAGAATTGTAGCTTCAGCTCACCAAATGAATATTTTAGGGCATTGGCTGCGGATGTTAATCCGACACTATTCCGTCGTATTAGCATTGCCCGCTCGACACAACTAATCTGCGTCGATGCTTTTAATCTTGAAACCGCATGCGACACTAAACGAACGCAAAGTATGCTCAAATTTAGTGTCAAACTTATTTATGAAGCTAATTCGGAAGCAAATCCACTGTTTTGCTATAGTGTCTCAACCGTAACACCCCATACTCCCACCCACTGACTTGCTGTCCTAACTATTTTGTAATTGCAACCAACCTCCATCATGTAACTTCCTATTAATATTAATTGGGGGAGAGGAAATAAAGGATATGAATGAAAAGAGGAAGATGAATCGAGCAGCCGGTAGCCGGAGAAGTGGGAGATGAAGCGAGAAGTCAGGAAATTGAAACCAGGGGATCAGAAGCCTATGCGATTAGTTCGCCTATAAAATGACGCTACAGAGGTGAGAGTTACTTACCAGGAGATCGAAAAATGGGAGAGATTGAGCATATGCCAGGGTTTCTCTGTAGCAGGAGGGGAGGAGCGGTAGCAGCGTTGCTGTCGAGCCATCGAAGAGGAAGGCAGGGTTAGGGCTCGATCGAGTCTTGCCATTCGATTTAAATGAATTAGGGTGAGAGAGTAAGGTAAGATACTTAATTATTTGAGTCATTATGATTAATTAAAATGAAAATTCAGAATGTTTATAATGAATTGATTTCAATTTTATTATCAATTGTTTAAAGGTAATCGTTTTAAAAGCTTAAAGGTGAAAAAGAGAATTGTGCTGCAGAAGGATAAAGTATGAAGCTTAATTTAATTGAATACTTATTCTCTATTTGAACTTAGGTTTACAAGCCAATTTAAATGTTTCGAAGAAGTATGTTAAAAAATTTAGGAAAATAAATTTTGGTATAATATATAGTAATACAAATATATGAGGTAGCTTAATGTTAAAATAATAAAAATGGCTAAATTAATTGGTTATACGTTTAATTAAAAGCAAAAATAAATTGGATGACTCTATAGGTATATGTTTATATAATTAAAATAATAAATTAATTAATTTATCTTGAACAATCATGTTTCTGTTAGGTTTCAAATTTTTGAAGAGTCAACGTCAAGATAAATCAAATAATGAATTAATCTCATCGAGGTGAGTATTCATGTTATTATACTATGGTATTAATTTGCTTCTTCTAGACTAAATATATTTATTGGTACTATCATTAGTTATATTGAAATTACTGGAAACTCAGGATTATTCTAGTCAGTTTTTGTTCATATTGTAGTAAATGATATGTGTGCTTAATATTATTTAAATTATCATAAATATGGAATGATTTATAAGTATATTTACTGATAGGCAAATAAAAAATGAATATTTATTATGAGAAAATAATATTTTTATTGGATGTTTGTATGTGCATGATTGACTATGATGAAAACACCCTTGATGATACTAGTGAGACAACAATAAGGTACTCGTGCATGTAAATGAAAATTGATATTAATATTAAAGTACTTTAAATGATACAACTTTTAGATAGTATTCCTGTGACGGTTGTGCAAATATAAAATAATTTTTAGATAGTATTAGAATGCTATTGATATTGTAAGATTCATTGAATAACATATTAAATGTTTATATTTATTTATTAGAAAGTTTAACCGACATGCTTATTGTTTTGTTTTTTCATTGTATTATTATAATTTAAGAGTATATTCAAGAAAAGAGTGAATCTAATAATTTCATTGTATTACTTAATACAGATGATATCTCTTGAAAAAATAATTTTTATTGGAGGAGATTTAAATGGACACGTCGGTAGAGTGGTAGAAGACTTTAGAAATACTCATGGTGGCTACGATTTTAGAGTAACTAATGAGGAAGGTAGAACTATTTTAGATTTTGCTTTAGCGTATGATTTTGATATCACTAATACTTTTTTCAAGAAAAGAAATGAACATTTTATTACTTATAAGAGTGGATCTAATAAAACACAAATTAATTATTTTCTTATGAGAAGAAGCTTAATTATTTTCTTATGAGAAGAAGAAATCGTCCCAATTGTAAAGATTGTAAGGTCATTTCAAGTGAGAATTTAAGTATGCAACATCGTTTATTAATTCTAGATTTTTAAGATTAAAAGTTGTAAAATAAAGAATACTATGACTCATCATCGTAGAATTAGATGGAGAAACATAAAAGACGCAAATAAAATTATTTTTATGAGTAAAATTTAAGATTTCAAAATTTGGGATATTCATGAAGAAGCAAATGTTATGTGGGATAAAGTAATAAACACTATTAAACAAGTAGCAAAAGATGTGCTTGGAAAATCAAAAGAAAAAATTTTTATAAATAAAAATAGTTGGTGGTGGAATAATAATGCACAAGAAAAGATAAAATATAAGAAGTTATGTTATAAAAATTGGTTTAAATGTAAAAACTTAGAGAACTATGAAAAATATCAAACGGTTCGCAGGGAGTCTAAAAGAACAATCTGTGACGCTAAAAATTCTGCTTTTAATGATCTTTATAATAGATTAGATACTAAGGAGAGTGAAAAATATATGTATAAACTAACCAAACAAAGAGAAAAGAAAAGTAAATATTTAACTCAAATAAAGTGTATTAAAGATTAAAATCAAAAAGTACTTTTCTTAGAAAAAGATACTCAACATAGGTGGGCGAGTTACTTTGATAAACTTTTTAATGAAGTTCTTGAAAATACGATCGACTTTAGTGACCTTAATATCGTGAAATAAAATTATTTTTATGAGTAAAATTTAAGATTTAAAAATTTGGGATATTCATGAAGAAGCAAATGTTATGTGGGATAAAATAATAAATATTATTAAACAAGTAGCAAAAGATGTGCTTGGAGATTCAAAAGAAAAAAATTTTATAAATAAAAATAGTTGGTGGTTGAATAATAATGCGAAAGAAAAGATAAAATATAAGAAGTTATGTTATAAAAATTGGTTTAAATGTAAAAGCTTAGAGAATTGGGAAATATATCAAACGGTCCACAGGGAGTCTAAAAGAACAATCTGTGACGCTAAAAATTCTGCTTTTAATGATCTTTATAATATATTAGATACTGAGGGTGAAAAATACATGTATAAAATAACCAAACAAAGAGAAAAGAAAAGTAAAGATTTAACTCAAGTAAAGTGTATTAAAGATTAAAATCAAAAAATACTTTTCTTAGAAAAAGATACTCAACATAGGTGGGTGAGTTACTTTGATAAACTTTTTAATAAAGTTTCTGAAAATTACGATTAACCTTAGTGATCTTAATATCGTGAAATAAAATTATTTTTATGAGTATTACCGTCGCATTAGTAAGGAATTCAAAATTTGGGATATTCGTGAAGAAGCAAATGTTATGTAGGATAAAGTAATAAACACTATTAAACAAGTAGCTAAATATGTGCTTGGAGAATCAAAAGAAAATATTGTTATAAATAAAAATAGTTGGTGGTGGAATAATAATGCGCAAGAAAAGATAAAATATAAGAAGTTATGTTATACAAATTAGTTTAAAATATAAAAGCTTAGAGAACTGGGAAAAATATCAAATGGTCCGCAGGGAGTCTAAAAGAACAATCTGTGACGCTAAAAATTCTGCTTTTAATGATCTTTATAATAGATTAGATATTAAAGAGGGTGAAAAATATATGTATAAACTAACTAAATAAAGAGAAAAGAAAAGTAAAGATTTAACTCAAGTAAAGTGTATTAAAAATTAAAATTAAAAAAGTACTTTCTTAGAAAAAGATACTCAACATAGGTGGGTGAGTTACTTTGATAAACTTTTTAATGAAGTTTCTGAAAATACGATTGACCTTAGTGATCTTAATATCGTGAATAATAATAAAACGTTTCATTTTACTATCACATTAGTAAAAAAGAAGTTGAGGATCCTTTAATGAAAACCGATGGTGGAAAGTCTGTAGGACCTGATGATATCCCAATTGAAGTGTGGAAATATTTGGGAGATTTGGGAGATTTTTGGCTTACTAAACTCTTTAATATTATTTTAAAAACTAAAAAGATGCCTGAGAAGTAGAGGAAGAGTATTTTGGTCCCCATTTTTAAGAATATAGGGGATGCACAAGTGTGCAAATTATAGAGGAATTAAGTTGATGTATCATACTTTAAACTGTGGGAGAGGGTAATTAAATATAGGTTAAGATGCATCACAAAGATTTCTCATAATCAATTTGGATTTATGTCGGGCAAGTCTACTATGGAAGTTATACATTTATTGAGAGGTTTGATGGAGAAGTTCAAAGATAATAAGGAGAATCTACATTTGATTTTTATTGATTTAGAAAAAGCTTATGATAAGGTTCAAAGAGATATCATTTGGAGAGTTCTTGAGAAGAAATGTGTCGATATGACTTATATTCAAGTCATTAAAGATATATATACTAGAGTTATTACTTGTTTTCAAACTGAAGGAGGGTTGACCAAATATTTTCCTATTCCTATTGGATTACATCAGGGATCGGCTTTAAGCCCAAATATTTTTGCTTTAGTTATGGATGGTCTTACTGGACATCTACAGGAGGATGTACCTTGGTGTATGCTTTTTGCTGATGATATCCTTCTCGTGGATAAAACAAGAGAAAAAACCCAGGAAAAACTTGAATTATAGACGTCTATATTGGAGTCTAAAGGCCTTCTTTTAAGTAGAACTAAAATTGAATACATTAAATGTAATTTTAGTAGCAATAGCTCAAGTGACAGAAGTGTGATTTTGGGTGATCAAATTATTAAAAGGTGTGAACGATTTAGATATCTTGGGTCTGTTGTTCAAAGCGATGGTGATATGGATGGGGATGTTAATAGTAGAATTTAAGTTGGTTGGTTGAAGTGGAGGAATGCTTCGGGCCTTTT